CCCAATCCTTCGTCCGAAACCTCCTCGCCCTACCCTGGCTCACCCGAGCCTGGGTAGTCCAAGAAGCCGTGCTACCAACCAAAGCCACGTGCTTCCTCGGCGCCTTCACCTTTTCCCTAGAAGATTTATGGGCCGTTGTGGTCCATTTCCGGAGTGCAGAACGGTATCTCACAGGGAGGGACTATGTCAATTTACGTCAGCTACCGGGGTATCTAGTGCTGAACGAGATCATGCGATTGCGGATGCAGGCGCGGTACCAGCGGGGTCCTAGCCCCAATGAATCGACGTGTTTCTACCATTCCCTCTCTGTCTTTGCGCCGAGATCCAGGACGTCGAGTCGGCATGACATCATTTTCGCTTTTCTGGGGCTACAGCGAGATCGAAGGGTGAAAATCGTGCCTGACTATGACATGGATTGGGACGTCGTACCTTGCGTAGCCACCAAGTCGATTATCGAAGCTACAGCCAGTTTAAACCTCTTCGGACTGCTGCATCGGAAGGACGAAGAAACGAGTCGGTGGCCGGTTTTGCCGTCTTGGGTGCCGGATTGGTCGAGGACGGCGGAGGCGGAACCGTTGGTTTTTCCGAGGAGTTGGATTTACTTTGATGCTGCTGCTGGGAGACGGTATGAGGTCAAGGCGGTGACTGACCTCGACGCCGCGTATTTGGTGGTTACGGGGAAGATCATTGGTGAGGTGGCGCATACACTTGCGTTTACGAAAGGCCTTGCTGAGCCGCTTACGAACCGCCATGGATGGGACATTTGCTCTTACCTCAACTTGCCACATCTACACTATTTGCTGGGACAGATGTGGCGAGAACAGAATACGACTGCCCCGTCAATGGAGCGTTTGCTGAAAATAATTTTAGCCGACGGTTCCTTCACACTGAACCAGAAGCTAAGGGAGCACTGCAGCGAAGGTCTACCAGCTTCAGACATAGACGAGCTGGTTTCGACGTACTTGGCCACTGAAAGCGCTCCAAAAGAGCGCGATGTTGTCACAATGGGTCGGTCCAAGAACGCTGATGATCTAGGCAAACGAGCGACCAGACTTCGCGATCATGCTCGCGTAGCTTGGGGCCGACAGGTTGTCGTGGGACGCGATTGGAGACTTGGGCTTGCACATCGATCGGTCTGCGAGGGCGACTTGGTATGCATCGTCCACGGCTCGAAAGTACCTCTTGTGCTCCGTCGTCTTGCAAATGGTTATTATCGCTTGATGGGCCAGTGCTATTTGGAGGGCACTATGCGCGGCGAAGAAGTAACTTGGGATGAGGCGAGTGCAGAAGAATTCGTACTTGTGTAAGCGTTACTGCCCCTTGTTGTCACTAAGCAAATGGCAAAGCACGTTCCATCACATAAGACAAAAGCGGATATCACGATTCCCATTTACAACTTCGTCTCCGTCCCCCTCAACGCCTCTATATCGACGACTTCCTTGACCGCCTCGGTGGTGAGGACATACGGACTCTCGTCATCCACACAAACGCTATCTTCAATCCTCATGCCTATGCCCCGCGCCCATTTAGGCCACCGCTCTTCATTCGGGACGTAGATACCGGGCTCAACGGTGACACACATGCCCTTTTCAAACTTCCTACTCCGGCTCAGACCGGGGGAGTCGTGCACATCGAGGCCAACATAGTGGCCCACGTGATGTGGAAAGAGCGTTTGGATAGCATCGGCATCCATGTCGAAGCCGAGGTCCTTCAGACCGGCGGCCAGCGAGTTGGAAGCTGTATGGTGTAGTTTGTCGAGGGTGAAGTTTGAATCTGTGCGGCAGAGCGAGATGCAGGATCTTTGTACTGCGAGCAGGAGGGTGTAGAGATCGCGTTGGGCGGGGCTGAACTTGCCGGATACAGGCCATGTGCGTGTTATATCCGTGACGTAGCCTCCATACTGTGCGCCCGCGTCGACGAGGACGAGTTCTTTGGGGTTGAGCAGCATGTCGTTGGAGACGTAGTGGATGGTGTTTGCGTTGATGCCGCCGGCTACGACGGGGACGTATGCTGGGCCGTCGCAGTTGTCTTGCTTGAACCAGTAGTCGAGGAAGGAATCCAGGTCTTTCTCCGTGGTGAAGGACTGCCGCATTGCGTCTGTGATGGCGCGGCCCGAGTGCTGGCCTGCGCGGCGCATGTTTGTGATTTCGGCTTCGGATTTGATAAGGCGGAGTTCGTTGACGAGGGGGCGGAGGGGTCGTACGCTTGCGGGTGCGTCGCGGAAGACGTTGAATATGCCGCCTGTGCGTGAGGGCTCTGCGCCTGCGAGGTATCGTGAGAGCAGGTTTTTGGATACACGGGATTGGGGGAGGTCGGTGTATATGGCTTGCGCGCGGTTGACTATGTCGGGGAGCAGACGGGGTAGGTCGTCAATGCTGCCGCTCACGTCGGCGTTGAAGACGTCTTCCGCGGCCTCAACGCCTGATCGTGGTCCCTCCCAGGCTTCCACCTTGGGGTCCTTGGGCCGGACGTAGAGGTGGAATGTGTGCTCTCCATCCTTGTGTTTCTCTATTACCGCCACTGCATCCTGCTCTCTAAACCCCGTCAAGTACAGGAAGTCTGGGTCCTGGTGGAACTTGTAGAAGACGGCGCCGGATGCATATTTCAGGTCGTTTGCGGCGAGGATGGCGGTCGAGTTTGGGGGCAGTTCTTTGGCGAGGGCGGCGCGGCGTTGGTGGTACTCGAGTGCCGTGATACTGGGGGTGACTGCAGGATGTTAGTAGAGGGTAAGACGTTGCTCGGGCGGTCATCACCTTCCCCAGCCTTGAGTAGGTGTGGATGCGTCTCATGGAGCGGTTGGCCAAAACGGAGTTCAGCGGCAGGCACAGCAGCGGCCGCATACGCCCTCGTGCCGCCGACTCTGGGCTGCACCCGCCCGACGCGTCTCGCAGCATCGCACCGGTATGGCACGCGTGTAGCCGGTCGCAGCCATTTTATCGCAAAAGTCATGGTCGTTGGCGGAGAGGTGGGCTCGGGCGAATCAAGCTTCGGCGGAAGAGGCATCGGTTTCCCAGCCTAGTGGGCGCTAGGCCGCTAGTGGGAGAGCCTGACGTACCTTGCAGGTGCCACTACCGCCGCAGCTTCCCCCCTCCCCGCAAACACCTCCAGGCCCCCGTTTCTGCCTGTCGGACAGACAACGCACACATGACACGCCCGGCCGCTTATCTTCCGACTCTTCGCACGCCCAGTCTGCGAAGAAGACCACCACCGCCGTGACGCTGCCCAACATCATCCGCAGAATGGCCTCGTCGGCCGCCCAACCCAGCGTCGTTCCGCCCAAGGACCTCGAGAGCTTCCAGCAACACCTGACCAAGTCGACGCGTATTCTCGCGCTTCTCGGTGCGGGGCTATCAGCCTCTTCTGGACTACCCACTTTCCGAGGTGCTGGGGGTATGTGGAGGACGCATGACGCGACCTCACTAGCGACTCCCCAGGCCTTTGAGCGCGATCCAGGACTCGTGTGGCAATTCTACAGCTACCGACGGCACATGGCCCTCAAAGCCAAGCCCAATCCCGCCCACTACGCCCTAGCCGAACTGGCGAAGAAGAAGGAGCAATTTATCACGCTGAGCCAGAACGTCGATGGTAAGCCTGCGCCTCAGACCCCAGCAGTCGCATAGCTAACACTCCCACCCAGGCCTATCACCGCGCGCTCAACACCCCGCCGAACAGCTCAAACTCCTGCACGGTTCTCTCTTCGACCTCAAGTGCTCAGACTTCTTCTGCAACTACTCGGAGCGGAACAACTACACCGACCCCATCGTGCCTGCTCTCGCCATACCCACCGACGAATCGGACCCAACCACAAACGCTGCCCTTGCCGCCCGCGAACTAGACATCTCAGACATCAACGTCGAGATCCCGGAACTCGACTACAAGCACCTCCCCCATTGCCCCGAATGCAAGAACGGCCTGCTACGTCCGGGTGTAGTCTGGTTTGGCGAAATACTGCCTAAGAAGGTTATGGAGGATGTTGACGCGTTTATCGAGGACGAAGAGGATATTGATCTCATCATGGTCATTGGAACGAGTGCGAAGGTATATCCTGCAGCCGGATATGTGGATCTTGCGCGCAGCAAGGGGGCGAGGGTTGCCATTATCAACATGGACGCCAATGATGTTCCTGCGGGAGGGCTGTACGATGGGGACTGGTTCTTCCAAGGCGATGCAGCGCAGATTGTGCCCGAGTTGCTGAAGAGCGTTATCGGAGAGATTGATACTGAGAAGATGGGAGATGCTGCGGGAGGAGCTGGCTTGAGACCTGCCAGACTGCATTGAGGTTCTGTGCTGGATTTGCCCTGTTGGATTTTAGCAAGACTGAAGTAATGCAATGGGGCTAGACTATAGGGTTTCACCTCGGTAGTCTCCTGCTAGTGCATCCCTACAGCATGAAACAACTGTCACGTGGACATTGTCAGTATGCCTTCATGTGAAAATCCGCCCCTGTTGCATCAAACGAGATGAATTGGTCATGAACCAATACTGCTTTTTATTACTATCCTGCTATTACTGTTCCGTGAACGGTATACTATGTACTTGTGTAGTTCACCTTTCCCTAGTCCTGCAAAGTCGTCGTTGCGACGCGAGTCGATAATGTGACACGCGCAAGCGAATGCTAATGCTATTATACAGCATCTCTCCTTCTTCTTGCATCGCTGTTCGAGATAGTATTTGGGTATAACACGCGTAAGTGATGTTGCGGTAGCGACGAGTGTTGGGCCCCATTCGGCTGACACATACAACGTGGCCGTTTGGTCCTCCAGTTGTCCCGTTTTTAGCCGGCGGTGTTCTAGAATGCGAACCTATCCTGTTTGCGACTTTTGGCCCCGTTGATGACGAGGTGGGGATCCTTTTGAGATACCGTTGTGATAAAGCGACCGCTAGCATGGAATAAGATGTTGATTCCGCTGAACGGTAGGCCCCCGGTTCCTCACCAATCGCATCATTTTGTGTGCAGTCGGTGCTGCAGTAGTTTTGCCGCGAAAGGTACTCCCCCGTCCTCATAACATGTGAAAGTGGTAGTTGCCGAAGTTGTCCATTTCATAACGGAACAAGGCTTCAGCTGGTTGGTCGTTGTCCGGCCATGGTAGATATTGCGGGTCGACCTTTGCTGGTGCTGGTTGTTGTAGCACCATGATGACCTCGTCTGGGAAGGCGTCCGCTATGTCAGCCCAGACGTACGGTTTTGACGTCTTGACTATCGAATATACGACCTGGTAGGCGCGGGACGCTAACATGTTTGTGTCGCACATGCTGCGGAGTGAGGTGACGAGTTGCCGTGTGCTGTGCACAGACGCTTGTAGTGTGTCGCGGAAGTGATCGGGGCAGGATATGGCTATCATGAGAACGGCGAGTGATTGCATGACTGTCACACATTAGTCAGTAGGTGATATAGGGATTTGAGGCGTCGACATACTGTTGTGGACGATTGTCCACCAGGGCCCTTTTTCATATAGACTCCTGACATTAGGCTCGTTTGCCAGCAGCGATGCGACATCCCGTGCCGCTTGTACGCACGACTCTGCCACAGACTGATCGAGCGAATTGAAGTCATCAGTTCCGGCTTGGAAGCAGCGTTCAATACGGCGGAGTGAGGGACGAGTCGTCAGAACCTTCAGTCGGTAGTACTGAAGTTTGAGCAAGAAGACGTCGCGTTGTTGCATGCGAGCTGAGTTCCGTTCTTCGGAATGAACTTGGGGAATGTATTCAAATGCCCACTTGTCAAGGTGTTCGCATAGAGATATGGTCATTTGCTGGACGTAGTCCCATGATGGCGCAGATCTACGTTGTGTGTAGAGATTGGAGATGATTTGCTGGGTCAGGAGGTTCAGGTGGATATCCGCATCGAGAAAGTCGAGATTGGACACAGGTACGCTTTGGGTCTGATCGCTATTCACGGCACTGGGCAGCGGAGTTGTGATGTCTTCGTTGGGTATAATGCTGGGCCGGCCCGTAATCGAACTCAGCATGCTCTCGAGTGCATGTAGACTCCACCAGGTGCAGACCATGCTCTGCCTTCGGGCGGCCGAGACAGATTGATCATCTTGTTGCACGTGAAGGCCGAGCGAGAAGGCCGATCGCATCGCCATGCCTACCATTACCCAAGCCCTGATACAATATTAGCATGCAAGCACGTCGATTCAAGCAAGAGACGAAGAGAGAATGAACTAAGTAGTCACGAGCAAAGATCTTCCGCATACGTACCGATTAACATGGCCAGCAGTCATGTAGTAAATCGCAAAGAGTCCAGCAGCCTGAAACGTTTAGCATAGTCAAACAAGATCAGCAGCTCAGACTTGCCTGCGTTGTGAGCAGATCCGGAGTCGTTAGGACAACGATTGTGTCATTCATGCTAAGCAATTGAAAGGCACGCGATAAGTAGACGATGTGATCCAGCTCGTCGGCTCGCCATTCAGCCTGGATGAGATGTGAAAACTTGGCGCCTATTGCAAAAACAAGGTTGACCAGCGCAAACCATTTCTCCGGGCAATGTATCGCCTGCCCGTTCCGAACCAAGGTGTAGTACTGTTGTAGCTGGTGCTCTATAGTTGGGGGGAGGATGGGAAAGGAGCCTTGGATGGTCTGGGTGAAGCACTGGAATAGCAGTACTGCAGTATGTTCTGGTGGCAGCTCAAAGGGATTCCCACAGTCTGTGAGTTTGATGCCTTCGTCATCGAGATAGTAGTTGGTGAGAGCGATGTGTTCGAGCGGGGTCGCGGCAAGGGAGGTGGGTGACGCAGTGAAAGTAGGCGAGGGTGGCTGAGAGAGTGGCGCAGTGGTGTCAGGTGGGCCAAACAGAACGGTATCGAGAGCTTGTACTCTACTCCTGAGCGTCTGTAGCCACTGTACTTCGGAGATCTGGCCCAAGAAGCCTGCTTCGACTACATTGGGCAGTTCGCCACCGTCTTCGTCGCCAGAGTCTTCCGGGACAGTACCGTCCAGGCGAGGAAGGGGTGACTGATCCGAGGTAGGCGAGGTTTCTGCTCCGAGCGGCACATAGCTAGAGGACGGGGCAAAGGGGTGCATGCGCAAGTGCTGAGAGAATGGTTGAGGGGCGGATGCTCGCGAAGAAGAGGATATGGAGACGGGCGACCCGACCTCGTCATCTGACTTGGCGGTATTAGTTTGAGCAGTGGCATCCGGCTGGCAGGTCCTGTACTCACATCCTGGAGGGCATCTTCAATTCGACGTCGGTCATCGTCGCTGACGCGCAAGCTGAGGTCTTTGAGGACGGAGACGAGGGCATGGTTGCGGTCTTTGGCACTGGCGGAGTCAATTTCAGAACTTGGAATCAGGTCGTTCAACTGACGTCGCCAGCCGGTCTTTCCTGGGGCGCTCGTATACACATGTCTTGTCGGTCTTGTCGCAGTAGTTGCAGCGGGGGAGGCCGCCGCTACACTTGATCTCTAGCGTGTGTTAGAGGTCGAGAGAAAGTGAATGATGTTGGAAAAGACAATGGCAACGCACTCCGCTTGTGACAGTTGCGACATGCCCGCTGGACTCTGTCCCTCTGGCGCGACTTGGGCGTGGTGGGTGGCGGGGCGCGTCGGGGTGGTAAGCGTGGAATGGCGACCTTGAACTGCGACCCGTAGGGACCGGCCGAGGGGTGACCAGCCGGAGGGGGTCCAGGTCGCCTGTCGTCTTGCATCGGGCCGCTCGCGAAAACTCACGCTGCGTGGTAAGGGAACAAGAGTCATCTCAGCGCATCTCGCATCGTGTTTATGAAAATAACCGCCTGCGTCATGGGAATCAAAGATTGGGGATGAACGCTGCGCCTTGGCGGGAGCGACCTCGTAGTGATTGGCTTCGGTGCACAAGTCCGCATGGCCAATACTCATCGTGCCCGCGCATTTGCCCTGGTTCTGCTGCGTGCGCCGCCATTGCAGGGGCGCGCCACGGGGCGAGTGTCGAGACGAAGGTTCCGCCGCGCCCCATATAGTGACTTCCTCGACCACGGGCGCGGGCAGAGAAGTAGACGGCGTAGACGTTGACTCCAGATCCGCAGGCGCTAGCCCTCGGGCCCCTCTGCCGGTCGTCCCCTCCGCCGTTCAGCGGCATCCCGCCGTCGCTGGCCACTCGCACACTGCATCACAGCAATTTCCCATGCGCGACCAGACAGGTCGACATGGAATTTGCCTCGAATGCGATCCTGCCGGCACTTCACTTTGTCACCTTAGCACAAAAGCAAACCTTGGGACACGTGCCCGCTATCAGTGGTCCGAGCTAGCCCCGCCATCCTCAAAATTTCGATTCGAGTTCCGCCGAGAAGAATTACTGCTCTCGCTCTAGACATCTCGCTGCTTGTAAGCGAGGAACCCAAGATTGGGGCGCTGGCGTGTTTTCTTTTGCCGTATCAACGCCTCCAGATCGCCGTCCTGTCGTCCTCGTCGTCCTTCTATGTACCTCTGCAGTGCCATCGCACAAATAACCCGAGTCATGCACTATGCTGTATAACCTTATCGTGACCGGACGGCATATGGTGTATCTCCTAGACTGCACCTTGTTAGTAAGCCATGTCTTGAACAAACACGCGCATCACCATACTCCCACCTAAGGATAAAACCCGATCTTTTGTGGATCAAGTCATCTCAAACCACCGGACAACACCCGCCAATCAGTGCAGCTGCCAAATTTGGGTTGTCCCTCGGTTGCCCGGTTTCGGCCTAGCGCCGCTAAGGCACATGCAACCTTTAGCTTTACACATCCATAAATCCTCCCGACTGCGAATGCGAATATAGTCTTGCATAGCTAGGAACAAGCCCATGGCGCTTCTGCGCGATATAACGACCTGATCTGCGCTTTGTGCCAACGCAGCACAGTAGTACCACGGGTGTGTGCAAGCATGGTTTCATTTCGCCGGCCTGCAGGTGCATCCCTTGCTATAGCACAGGTCGCCACCCAGACCAAGGGTCGTGTTCCGAAGGCCACCCGGCACATGTACTTTCACAAGCAAGAAATACGAAACACGACTGATTATAGTTCAGCCTCAATCTCGGTCCCACTGGTCCCTTGATAATCCACTCTTATATCCACCGCCGTCCGCTCAGGCATGCTCGAGCCACACCCCGCCAACCCCGCCACCTCTTTCTCCACTATCCAGCCTCTCCGCGGAGCCTCCAAACTTTCCGGCCTTCGCGTCTGTTATTAGGACTACCTCGCCATACCAGAATCCCCTATCTTTAACGCGTTGCTGCTCCTCCTCGTTCTTTGGCAAGCGCAGTATAATCTTCGCACCGGTGTCACGAGTCTCCACTTCATGCACGCGCCTGAGCTTGAATTCAAATCCTCCAACAACCTCTTCACCAGCACTACCGATGACGGCGTCGTAGGTTCTTCTAGTCTCATCTAGCAGGGCCTGGTCGCCCACGATGATAGTAAGTCGGCTGACCCCAATTGCGCCGCATGGATGAGTCGTCTTCGAATCGTCTATTGGAACGCGGACATCTCGAGGTGTAATGTCGTGGCAGAAGAATGGCACCCTGCCCCTAACACTCTGTCCACCTTTCTCTCCCTTGGGGAAGGTGACAGCCCAGGCTACGTCGACTCCATCAGCTCTCTTTCTTCCACCCTTGATCGGTTTTGAGTGACTTTCTATCACCGCCTCGTAATTCTTCTCGGGCGAAAGTGAGTTGGTGAGGCACCAGTCTTTCCAGCCTACGAAGTCGGCGTCCGGGCCCCACCAATGCTCAGGCGCGAGGGAAGGGTTGACGAAGGAGATGAGTTCGATGTAGCATCCGTCTGCGAGGAGAATCAAGACATTCGATGTCGCGCCGTCAGCGTGGAAGCCTCCTGGGGTGAGTGTAAAGTTGTCCGAGAAGAATGGAGGGACTTCGGGCAGTTGCGTTGTTGGGTTGGCGGGGACGAAGAGGATGAGGTGGTCTAGGCTTTGCTGTGACGTGGCCATCGCGGCAGTTGTATCTTGGTGACTGATTTGGTTGTGACCTCAGATTGTCTCACGGTGAGTTAATTACTACCTGAAGAGCTCAGCACCAAGTGTTCATGGACGTGGAGTTATTGCGCCCGGGCTTGTCCGGAAGAGGGATGACTTCGGGAAGCGACAGGGATACATGAGGGGTAGCTCCTGCCAACACTGCTCATCGCGTGAGTAATCAGTCACTTATATACGCTGATCTTACTCGATCGAGCTTGAATACTCCGAAAGACCCAAATCTGGCGCTTACCTCTACGAACGACCACCGTATGACTTGACTTTGCCGTATCGCAGTAACTTTCGCGCGACCTCGAAAGAACGTGCACTCGACAGTGAAGCGGCGGCAAGCAACACATGCGCATATCGTTTCGTGCATCACCATCTACCGTACTATCATGGCAAATGAACGAGACTGCATCAATCATGAAAGCGACGGATGCTAGCCGATACACCATCCCAGCCTATCGATTCAAAACAACATCCCCCGTCCAACCCTCAATCCCATCCTCATCCTCATCCCATCTCCTCGCCCACAACTTCTCACACTCCCTTCCCAACCTCACCAACACCACTTGCTCTTTTCCTCCCTCAAAACTCTTCTCGTCCTCAAATAACTCTCGTATACTCACATCACGATCCAGCATCTGCCCTTTGTTGTTGCCGTATTTGTAGCCTGGCATAGGCAGGATGGCGATGTTAAGCAGTGCGCGGGCTTCGGGTGAGAGTCGGATTGGCGTGTTTCTGGTGGCGCCTTGGAGGGTCTTGAAGATGTGGACTGCGTGGTGGATTTCTTGATATGCTTGGGCGGCCCATACGGGGAGGGTGGGGAAGTGTTGGAGGAGTGTGGAGGGGGTTAGCGGTGGGAGGGCTCTCGATGTGGCTTTTGGTCGGATAGGCAGTGTGGTTGGTTGAGACATTGGTGCGGGTATTGGGGTGCTGGGACGCGATGGCGAGGGTACTTTCTTCTTGGGTGCTGGGCGGTTTGGCTGATGATTGCTCCAATCTTGACATTCTGATTGCCCCCTTATAGAGATGAAGATGTATGCTCTGCCTGACATGTTGCGCCGGGTCAGACATGTGTCTTTCGTTATGACCAAGACATTGCACTGAGTGGGCTTGAGACCCAAGTGAGTTGTGTAGGCCAATGTTTCAGATAATCGGTAGCTAAGTATGTATATGATAGCATCATAGTTCCCCTCCAGGTGCAGTCTACAAGGGACTAACACTGTACTGCCGTGGTACCAAGGCGGTACTCAGGAGGTACTCCACGTTCCTGGCATCGTTCGGTGCACTCGTAATAACCCGTTGTATACAGCTGGCAACTGTTTTAGAGTGCAGAAAACAGAATAACACTGTTTGTATCCACGTTGCCGAAAGGCGTCATCTAATCTTGCAGTCAAGATAATCGCCAGGCCGCTCAGTCTGTAGATGTGAAGGGGCACGTCTCTGGTGTGATTCTCAGTTCTCCGATATCGCAGTGTCTTTTGAGTGGGCTCTTTCTTGAGCGCCTCGGCTTCGTTGGCTCTGTTCTTCCTCTCTCTTTCTGTGGCGGTCACGAGAGCTAGGCATGGAGGGGGCTGAGAGATTGTCGACTTGCGCTGGGTTGGGCTTCTTCCGCTTTTCTCATGCGTTCTCGCTGCTCGGGCTTCGAAGTACCCTGCTTTGGTGTCTACGCCGCTCAATGCCGCAGCAATGTTCAAAGCTGCGTCGTACTGTCGACCGACTGCCGTGGTTCGGTTCCTTAGTAGATATTCCGGATGCCAGGCGTACACGACGACGAACAGAATCTTTTGGGCGTTGTTGCGCACTATGCCCATGAGCGTCGTGCTGCCGCATGATAGTCGAACTGTGATATTTTCCACGTTGTGTCGCTCATGGAAGCGCTTTCTGTTAAAGGCGCCAAATACTAGTAAGACCTTCTTCGACAGCGACTGACATCTGTAGGCAAATTCGTCATGCAGTTGTTTCACTTCCTCTTTTCACCCGTCGGCAACATTCGCGAGGTGACTTACGGACGCCGCGCTCAGACGGCGGAAGTACGCTTCAAACCAATAGGTGTTACTCGCCACGAAGCCCTTCTCGATGAGGATTCGGATGCAACAGTTGGTCGCGTCTAGAGTCTGACCGTCGTTGAGATGCTTTGTCGTGAACGTTGGGTAGTGCAGCTGCAGATGCAACAGGGACGTCGCATATCCTGACGGTGAGACGATATGGGATTCTACCATGCCGCTTCGCCTCGCCTCTTCCTTCTTGAATGATTGGAATAAGCCGGGCATGTTGAAGGTATCCTGTCCGTACTCCAGGTCATACTCAGTCTCTTCTAGGAACTCCCGCGCCTCGCAGGTCATCATGGCTAGAGCTTGCAGCACTTCTGCCCGCACTGCAGCGAGCCTGGCCTCCGAAGGAGCGTTGATGGATGCCGTACTCTCAGAATCCATGTGCGTCGCCCATGCAGCTATTTCATCTGGAGTCATGTCGTTCGTGTCGAGATAATCGCCGTCATCGAGCAAGATAGCGCCATGCTCTCCACCAGTCCATGTGTCCTTTACGTTATCTGCCCGAGTGACGTCTTGCACCAACATGACTCGGTCATCCTCGTCTACCCATACGTCTAAATGCTGGGTCGTGCTCGCGACGTCGATGATGGCTCCTGCCTCGTTGGCCATTGTGTTGTCGCTGGCGGCTGCCCGCTTGCCGTCGACGCCTGCATGCTGAAGTGGCATAGTCGTTGATGCTCGATCCCAGGCGAAGGCTGACTCGCTGGTCTTGCTCGCGTCGTCGATGATGGCTGCTGCCTCGTTGGCCATAGTGTTGTCACTGGCGGCTGCCCGCTTGCCGTCGACGCCTGCATCCTCAAGTGGCAGAGTCTGTGATGATCGACCCCAGGCAAAGGCTGCTTGCTTTGTTGGCCTCGTGTCCTTGGCTTTTGGTGCTCGCTTCCTACTGATAGTTAGCGGTTAGCGGTAACGATCATAGGAAAGCGCATCTCACCTTTTCGGCTGTGCATCTTCTGCCAGCCGTACACCTCGTCCACTGGAAGACAGTGTGGCCTGTCTCTTTTGGTCGCTGGCGGTCGACATACCTCGGCGATCGAATCGAGACTTACCCGTGGACTGTAGGACGAAGATGCGAAGGACGAAGCTTGAGCACGACCGCACTCACCGTTATGCTGTTGATGTGACGCCATCTCTCTAGCAAGCAGGTGCGTTGGGGGCGTATCCTGTTGGAGCAGGACGCGGCTTCCCTCACTTGGGCGGGCACAGAATCCAGCAGGCGCGCGCCCCATTCTTGTTGGACAGCCCACCTGCTCTCTCATGATCCTTCCGCAGTCGCTTCGAACGACATGCTAAGTCGCGAAACTCGTAAGAGTATCGCGTCCGGCCTCGTAAGATTGGCTAATGCGCTTTCTTTGAAGTAAGTCATGGCGGCACCACCTTAGAGGCACTGCTCGCTCAACTTCCTACGAACTAAATAGAGCAAGTGTAATGAAGGACGCAAGGTAGGTGCATGTCCCTAATCCAATATACACCTCCACCTTTGAACATGCAATGCAATACGAAAGATGTTGATCAATGGTAAAAAGGTGTCTTATTCTGGGTCGAGGGCAAGTGGTGATGATTCTCAAATGCGGGCGGAACGCTGAAGTTTGCCGAGCCCTCCGACGAAAACCGCAAGCACCGAGCCTCCGGCGAACGCCACTTCAGATCATGATCATTTTAAGTCAGCCGAGAGAAGGCTGCGCAACGTATTGCTCGTATCATGTGCCATACTCGGAACTCCACTTAAAGGACGGTGTGATTCTACTGTCTCTTGTGGCATGATGACTAGTTGTGTGCCAGTGCGACAGTGTCTGTGGACCTGCCTCTAAGACACTAGGACATTAGCTTGCTGGTGCATCTAGCGCATGCCAAGGTGAGCCTGTCTGTGGATGGGCACATAGTCCCATTGGGGCTGGTGCCTGTTGACTGCTCTGCAGGGTATCTGTCACATTATAAATGATAGGTTTTCTCAACCTTTCATCAAAGTCCGGTATGGTGTATCGGCTAGCATCCGTCGCTTTCATGAGTCAATTGTGTCAGCTTCCGACGAGAGCCGGGTTCGATTCCCGGTACCGGAAAAAAATGATCTTTTTTGCATCTATTATCTTTTTTACAACATCATCTTTTTGCCCGCGTCTCAAAACTTAATCTAGTCAGATGCTACATTGATGTAAGTGACCTGCAGCTTTTTTGTTTGTTCATATCTGTCATAAGGCTTGAGTCTACGCATCTTGAGACGGACACTGACGGTACCGGAAAAAAACGTTCTTTTTCGCCAATTCTTCTTTTTGCCCGCAGCTCAAAACTCAAGATAATTGAATGCCATACTGCCTTTAATGTGAGAGTAACTTCCAGCTCTTTTTTTGTATGTTCACATCTGTTGTAAGGCAGCTTGAGACAGACGCTGAGGCCATGTAGTGATGCCATCGCCTGCCACGTGAAAGCGCGCTTCGGCGCGGGCGCGTCTGGCCTTGCAGCAACTCCCCCACACTAGCACCTCAGCACAACTATCGCGTTATGGCGAAACTCGCAACACCAGCTTCTGGCTCCAAAACGTCGAACTCTTCCGCACCTACCAATGGACATGCGCGATCCGCTGCACTGGAAGCTGTAAGCGCACGACCACGGCACAAGCAACGCCGGCCTACCAAGCAAGCGTCTTACGAGCTCACCAACCATGCCAAAGCCTACCTCGAGGGCGGTCAATGTATGCGACACCACTAGCCACACAGTATCAAGCTTACACTGACTCTAGATGCCAGCGGGTATGACTTCCTCTACAGCCTTCTCGCCGCCGGCACAAGCATATCGAGACCTGCGCAGCCATACATAGGCTTCCTCGCACCGCCGGCATACATCGCCTTCGCCTCCTCCATGGTCGCCGACCCCAGATTTACCACCAAAGCGCGATCGCGAGACGCCGCCAAAGGCTCCAATGCCGCGCTGCGATATCTACAATGCGTGCACACGACGATAGACGACCCCGCATACCCAACGATAAGGAAAGCCTTCATGTTCCCAAGAGAACGCAACAGGAGGAGCGCGCCCAGCTACAGGGCTAGTGCAAGTCTATCACCCCAGCTGAGCAGCGACATCAAGCGAATAGCGGGCGAGGCTGCCAACGAGAAGAGCCTGTGGTATCGCGCAGACGACTTCTGGCATGCTGTGGGATGGGCGTTCAATTGCGCGATAAAGCACAAGAAACGGTGGAGTCGGTGGAAACTGTGGCTGAGGGTCATGCTCGACTTCCTCGAAGCCGATTGGGATGTCTGCGTCAAGCAAAGCAACCAAGAGGGAGCGAGCGACGAGACAACCCTCCAGCAGAGTCTCCTCTGGCACTACATAACCGGCGACGAGACAGCAATGAATCGCGCAAAGAGGCGCCGGATCATCAGAGCTGTACTCGCAACGGCGACACCCGACTCGCTCAAAGACTACCCGGAAGTCTGGGAGAGGGAGACAGCAGAGCCGAGACGTGAAAGAAATGAAGACCAGCCAGTGGGTGAGGTTGACTTCGAGACTGGGGAGTTGGCGGATTATGGTAGCGATGAAGACATGCAGGACGCATCGGACGATGGCGGGGATGAGAGTGGCGACGACACGTCTTCGGAGACCAGCGATAAAGGGATTAAGAACGTAAACGACGCCATAGAGCGCCTTGGCGGACAGGACGCGATCGAGCTGCGGCAGCGTCTCATAGCACTCGTAGGTACCTTTTTGGTCGGAGTCGACGACAACTAACAACAAACAGCTCGCCGAAGTGGCCGTAGAGCTACCGGAACTCTTCACCCGGATATATGACCTCTGCGACAACATCTTGGAAGAGTTCAGTCAGGTCCCGACCATGACCTTCCAGGTGCTTTTGTCTACGATGAAGCTACCCGATGACATTCGAGTCGCCTTCACCGCGAACCTTCTACATGGTATGATAGCCAGCAAGCCACCGAGCTTCTTTCTCCGAGACCCTATTCAACAGGATTTCGAAAAGACTCTTCTTCCACTGAAAGGAACAACGCAAAGCTTTGCAGCAAACACCAAGATCTCACTCATACTGGAACAGTTGTTCATGCACATGATGAAGAACAATGCTCTCGCCCCTAACCAGGCTCTTCGCAAAGCTATGGAGGCTGGTATTCAAGCACGACGTAGTGTATATGGTACTGGTAAAGGTAAGAGAGGTAACGCTGAGGAAGAAGAGCAAGCAAAGAAGCTGCTACAGGAAAGCTCGGACAGGCTGTTGGGATTGCTTGAGGTATTGGAGATGGCTCATGGTAAAACTCCGCAGTCGACGAGAGTGAAGGAGTCCGCACTGCTTTCTTTTGGCTCGGGTTCATCGCTTTCTCCCGCGCCTGATAGCGAGACCGAGCCTGAAGACTGAAGAGGATTAATTGTATTTCCTCGGGAATCTCGAGGCCGCTCGCAATCAACTAAGAAGCAGCAAACTGAACGACACTGAGGTTTGGGCGCTCAGTCCCGCCTCGTTTGCGCTACCGCGTTTTCGATACCCAAACAACCACGCAATGAAATACTGGCGTATTCGGTTCCAACCGCGCCGCAAGAACATTTATTTACGAGCTTTCATCTCTCTAGGTACCCCGTGCACGGTCGCACTGGCGTCATGTCTGTCTTTATTTCCGATTTGCAAAACTGACACTTTACTGGCACCCATTGGTACTCATCTGCGGAGCACGGCCCCCACCTGCCTTACTTTCGGTACCAGCTTTTCGACAAGTACACCAATACCCATACAATCCACCGAACAAAGCCGCAATGGCTCCTAAATCTCGGCCCCAATCCAGGCCCGCGCAGATCGCTGCAATGAAGGAACGAAAAATATTGCGCACCCTCATCGTATGCTACTTTTTGACCTTGGGTAAAAGTAGATATGCTGACGGCGAACCTAGACTGACACTATTACGGAGATCCAGGCGTACATTAAATACCAGCAACAAAAGAGTCTGAGGTTCAGGCTAAACTCGAGAGGACTGCGAATCGAGCGCTCCATAGCTTCCACGTCATCATCGACGCCCATACGACTCATCCAACCCGGGGAAGAGGATATACTCCTCAGTGTACGGAGACAGTCTTTGAAGTCTACACTGCTCGCGGAGCAAACACCGCACCCGCAGACCAATCAAGAAGACGAGTGGCTCACGTTGCAAGAATGGTTGACTCGACGATATGGGATTGCCTCTCATCTAGAAGATGAACCTGACGATCCAAAGAAAGAGTCTCTAAAGCAGGCAATGGCAGGGTACATCCGTCACCGGCATCGCACCGACTTCGAGTTCTGGAGAAAGACGGCTGACGTCAACATATGTTTGAACCTGTTAGAGCAGGACATATCCTCGTACTGCAAACATGACCTTACAGACCATCATTTGAAGGGCCCTTCCAGGATAAAAGCCGGTCGCCCCGAGTCAGAGTCCGCAGACCCATCAATACTCACTCCAAAACTCGCGTTAGAGATGGATACACACCCCCGTTGGATACCGTTTCTTACTTGGATGGCTGAAGACCTCGAGTCGCTCAACCCCGCTCCTTTTACAATGTACGACTGGTGGAACTCCAACAGCCGAGCTTTCCGGTTCCTCGATCTTCCTGAGGAACTGCGGTACCTTGTATACGATCAAGTCATCGGCCCCTACATATGTTTATCGCTGAGCAAGGGCGACTCCGACGGAAACCAGCATGTCAGATTATCCCGCCCTAAGCGCCGCTCCACAGACATACATCGCTTTGGGAAAGTGAGTGTTGACGAAAGCGAATACCAGATTCAGCCGAACATGCTTGCTCTCACCTGTCAGAAAATCTGCTTTGAAGTCAAAAAGGCCACATGGGAGCGCACGACAGCACTGCTCAACGGTTATCATCACCCTTCCATATGTCCCACCTGGCCTCATGTCTTCATCCCCTATCACGCCATGCGTCGTATCGAGCTCAACCTCTCCACGTCGGATTATTTCCGCTTCCTCGGCCTAAAATGCGAACGACATCAGGGCTTCGTCGAATTGGACAACGAGATGACCCCCGCAATCGCCCAACTGCGCGAAATACCAACGTTATTCCATCTGCATCTCCACTTCACCACCCGTCCGCCTATACGGATTGGTCCTGGTAATACGTGGAGGTCTTTGGATCCTTGGCTTAATATCGCAGGGAGCAGGGGTACCAAAGTAGTCTCGTGCCAAAAAGTCTTCGTTCACTGGTTCTTTACCTTGGCGTGGGCGGATATCAGACACATACCCCGAGTCACGTTCTCCGGTCATGTTAAGAGACGGATACGAATGATGTGGGAGTTCAACTTTGCTCTTAGCACTCTAGACAAACGGAGTGATTCCAAGGCTGGATCAATCGCACGGATACAGGCTACGCCGTGGCAAAGACTGTAGGTAACCCACCCTGAAAAATGGTGTTGACGTTGCTAACGACTCACGTAGGCCCCCGGTATGCAAGTGCGAAATACCTTGCGATTGGTGGAACGTCCGGGGCCCGTATCTTGAGGGCCAGGATCCGAATTTTCAGCCTGGTGCTAAGGATGTTTATGATTACGACTTCGATCCTGAGGAATTCGATCGATTCGATTGCATGGACTGGGATCATCCGCGACCGTCATATTGGCGTTGTCAATAGGTATCGGAGGGAGGTGCGGCTTCAGCGTATGTACACACTCAGGTTATGCATCTTGCGCAACGCTCATTTGTTAGCATGCTTTGGAGGGACACAAGCAGAGCTCAATGGGATGATTAGCGCTCATTCATTCCAATACACCACATGTGGAGCAGCGAAGAAGATCAGGATGCGTGAGAAGCATGAAGATATAAACGATAGTATTATATTACATCACCATGGCGATGTGGGTATATAGAGTAATGAGCCTGCCAATGAGAACACGCTCCTTGCAGCCGACTGCGCTGAGCACATCATACAGCGAACAATGTACCGCTCAGAAGACGTTACCCTTGGTCTGCTTGCCGTTCTCCTCCTCAAGCTTCTTGACGTTGATGTTCTTCCAAATGTAGATGCTAGCCAAGCACAGCGGTACAAAGCACGCACCAGTGATGACCATCTTGCGTTGCACATCGGCATAAGCACCAACAACGGCATCGCGCTCTGGCGTACCATCGAGGAACGATTGCTGCAAGGTGATGTTTCCGAAAATCGCCCTGTACTCGGGCTTGCTTTCCTCGGGCAGACGCATGAGTAGCTGTCCAGGGAGGATGTTGTTCCACATTCCACCGGCGATGGCATATCCGATGGATGAACCGAAGCTGCCAAAGAGACCCCAAACGGCGTTGACGACGGCGATTTCTTGGTGAGTGACGGGAACCATGACGGCGAGCTGGGCGCAGGTTGCGAAGAAAGCCGTACCGAGACCGACGAGTACTTGAGTGAAGGCGAGAACACCGGGGTTGGTGGAAGGGTTTCGGAAGGGGATCAGGAGAGCAGTACCGAGGAGAACGATGGGTACACCAGTGTAGGCCGTCCACTTGAAGTTACCGGATTTGTGGATCCACCATGCGATGAGCGGACTGAATGTCGACGAGGTAAGCGAGAAAGCGTTGAGGATATATCCAGCGTGGGGAATGCTTTGCCTGTGTACGACGAGCAAGTAGGAGTAGAAGTATCCGTTCCAGCAGAAGACGGACAGGAACATGACGCAGTAGAGCAGGCAGGATCCAATGATGGTACCGTTCTTGAGGTACTTCCAGGGCAAGAACTGGACGGGCGCAAACTTGGCTTCCCAGATGTAGAAGACGGGGAAGAGGCAGAGTCCGAGGACGATGCAGGCGATGATATACGGGGTGTTCCAGCCTTGGGGCGCGTAGGCGACGAGACTGAAAGGCAGAACAAAGAGACTCCACGCGCACATGATGAGGACGATGCCAAGGACTGGATCGCGCGTTAGTAGCTATACGGGTAAATCTTGAGATGAGTGTGTAGCTTACTGTCGAATTGTACGGCGTAGTACCACAGCGATTGGAGGAAGTTACGATCCGACTTTACGTTCTTGACGAGACCAGCCTTCCTGGCCTTGCGGTACATGAACATCATGAGCACCAACGCGGGAGCGCAGCAACCGACGAAGATGATGATGAATGCACCGAAAGCCCATCGCCAGCTGTTCTGGTAGTAGAACATGTCGGCGATCACGGGTGCGGCGAAAGTGCTTGCGATACGAGGAGTTCCGTTGAGGGTAAAGATGATCATGCGGTTCGTCAGGCTGGTGCAATCCGCGGCCATGATGTCGGCAACGAATAAAACACCAATGTGACCAGCCCAGTAGAGGACATGACCGGCGATGTACGTCTGGACGTTGGTGCAGGCGGCTTTCATAGCCATACCGGCGACGACGACGAGCAGCATGAAGAAGAAACCCTCCACGCGACCAAATATATCGATGACCTTGGCAATGACGAGAGGAAGACAGCCACCGAGCGCAGTTGCCATTACGCTTCCGACGTTCAGGAGACCGTGTGTACCGAATGCCGAAGTGATGAAGGGGTTGAGCGCGGCGTCAATGCCATTCTGCAGGAAAGCGACGAATTCGATAAGGTAAATGCTACATGAGCAGGTCAGTCTTTGAATCTCGCGGTTTGAATGATATTAGACATACAAGACCAGCATCGTAATCAAGGTCTTCGTGCTCCAAATCTCAGTGATAGCGCGCACCCGCTGAACACCGTTCTGGAAGGTTTCCGATTCGACAGACTTGGTCTCTCCATCGCTGCCAGTCTCGTGGGCATTGAAAGCCTGGTCGCCATTCTTCTCCATGTCGATATCTCTTGAGGGACGACCAAAGCCCTCTACAGGTCGCACGGCGTCAGTCGCAGCCAGGTTCGACATGGCAAAACAAGGATGCCGGAAAAGTGCCGGGCAAGGCAGGGTATGAAATTGGGATGCAGGTGAGCGACGATCGTAAGACAGGCAGCGCTGCCATACTTAAGTATACCCTCGGCCCACTCTCCGAAGACCGGACAGGGAATGTCAGCGCAGTTACAGCGTCTGAAAAATTTGCCATGTGTATCCCACCCGGTGGCTTGGGATCATCTCCCACCGTCCAGGTATCTCGTATGCCCAGAGAGCATTAGGCGCGGCTAGATGATCAGATAAGTGCTAGATGATCAGATAAGATCCAATCTCGCTGTGAGCTGATTGCTGGCTCGTCTTGGCTGTGCCGCAACTCTGCATTGCCAAGGTCTTGGCCCGGGATGTCAGTGGCGGATGGAGCTCCCGGCTCATCGAAACGAGCAGTGTGCGCCGAAGCTTCAATTCCGTGCGGGACCAACCTGAGGGTCTCGCCTTGTGGATGGAGCCGTACGAGGAAGAGCATCCTCGTTGAGCAAGCGCGTCGTGGTTGCATGATCCAGTTTCGCGCCGTTCCTGGCGTCTTCTAGCTGGCGGCACTAGCAGCCAGCGTGGGAACTCCATTGTGAAGAGGCCCGACTGCTCACGAGCATGAGAAGAAACTTCTTCGCGCCCAAGTCTTTGCTTGTGGCTGTTTTAATGGAGACATGTGGCTTTCGTAGTGCTGTTGCTGGATCATGAGATGGATGTTGTTGGGAAAGAGCTCTCCCCTCATGACAGCTAGGAAGCGGCGCTAGCCGGTCTTGCTGGTCACGATGACATCTAATCTTATCAGATCATCGCATCTAGCTCGGCTGAAGCGGCCATTTGACAGGAACTGGCCACCTTCCGCGTTAGACGGTGGGGCATGGAATGAAGAGTCGGGTCCTGCAGGGTCGTGAGGGGCCGTTGTGGTATTGGAGACGCAGCCACTATCACCAATGCCCCACTGTCTCCTGGTCGCCACGATGTTCTGTCGCTTCCCTCTCCTAATCTTTCGTGGCGTCCGAGAACGCGCTCAAAGTGGTACAGTCTGGAAGAAGTGTTTTCCTTCAAAACTGTGGGTATTCGTATGAGGGGTTTTCAGGTACACGGCAGGGGCGACGAGTGTTGAAGCCGCGTCATGACTTTGGTCGACCCGTACGGACATGACTCCGCTGCGCAGCATATGTACAGCCATTGGGATATAGGTCGCACGATATACTGCTTTACTTAGAACTCGTCGGCGGGAACAACCCCATACAGGCTATGTATAGCACGCAAGTTGTCAGAGGTCAAAGCCATGCATGCCTGACACGGATTCTGCGAGCTCAGCACACGCAATCGCTTCATTATGCGAATGTAGGAGCTGCTGTCAGGAAGTAGCAGACACAACATTTGCAGCTGCTGAGGTCAAGATCAACATTCTCTCAGATATTTGGAACGCCGTTGTACGTTCGAATTTCCTGACACCTGCACTCCCGATGTACGTAGGTACCTAGGAATGCTCTTTTCACATGATAATATCGGAAGGAAACGGGTCCAGTTGTATTGAAGGGTTGATGCTAGTGGAATCCATCCCAAGGCAGTACGGTACAGTCTCCAAAAGCAGGTGCTTCAAGCTTGCAATAGGTAATGTAGTAATCTAATTTGTGTTGGATGTTTCGTGGATGATGGCGTGTTACGGAGTGACCTCGGAACGCGGGATCGGAACTGGCAGAGTTGGGGGGGTTCCGCTCACGTGGTGCTTCCAAGGCTGCCCAGGTGGCTAGCTTCAACTCTGAGAGTAACACAGACGCGTCAGCTCTCCTTCACTCTTCCACGGCATCTAATGCTCTACCAACATTCCTCGGGGATTGCGATCATATCATGTCTCTCTCTCGGTATTTCGTGCCACAACCTAGAATGCTCGCGCTTTAACAGCGAAAGACCATCCACGCTTGGTACAACAATTTGTTCGTCAATCCGTCCCATTGAGCTTCGACTTGCCAAATTGAGTGGATCGCAAGCTGCAGCCAAAAAAACTATACTCATCAATGTGCACCTTCATCGTATGGTTTGTCAATTCAGATTAGGGGCAACGATCACGTCGCCTCATCTCTAGTAACGTCATTGTCGCACACTGGATCTCAAACCTGCTTCACCTGCAGTACAGAAGCGCTACCGATTGTGGTGAACACATTCCGAGGCTGGCTACCAACTACCTCCGCTTCATCTATTTCGTGCCTTTCAAAGTGCGCCGCATTCCGTTATGGTCGAAATGTGGTCGGCACGAAGCAGAAAGAGTTGGATTACTGCGATATGGGCAGCCTTTGTGTCACATTCGGAAAATCGTAGTAGTTCCAAAACTGGCCCCTGTTTGTCTATCCTCTGCCTCGAGAACAGAAAAAGTACAAGGGAGAGGATCTGGTACAGTCACGCTTCACGCCGCCGTTCTAAAGAATGTGCTCGCATTCCTCGGGTGTAGATACGTCATCGTACAATTCTACTCTTCATCCGACGACTACTAGCTCGCAGTCGAGTGTTTGCTCACCTGCACGTACCACAATTGCGCGTGGTGGAGTTCTCTTGGCCTCCAGGCTGCGACTTGCTCTTCTCCCGACAGCGTTATAAGTGCTTCCACCTCTGCCCACAACGAGCTGGCTATCCGCGAAAATGTTTCTGTTCTACCTTCTAGAATTCGCCGCCCTTGCGGTCGCAGTCGCTATCAACGAACCAGTCCCCAACTATGGTCCCTTCTGCGGCACTCCCTCGCCCGTGTTCGAAAATGGTACTAAAGTAACTGATTGGGCGGAGTACTTCGAGGAACTTGAGACCATGTCTGGTCAGAACGGTCAAGGTGCTACCGACGCCTGGGGCTCGAGCCCTGGACCAATTCGTTGGCCACGTGACTCAACCAACAACGTCGTTATCCCATACTGCTTCACACAGGAGTGGGATCGCCACAATATCCGCCACATCACTGAGAGCGGTATGGCGAAGTGGGTTGAGTAAGCAAAGGCAGATCTATAATGACATGCGATGAGTGTCTAACTGACCGCTCTAGGTATCTTGGCGGCGCTGCGGGTGAAAAGTCCGGTCACGCTATCAGCTTCAAAGAGCGCTTGACCAGCGATGGAAAGCCAATGTATTGTGCACCCGTGAAGAAATACCGAGATGGCTGGAACGCAGGTATACCTCATGACACTGTGGCCATCGAATTCACCGACGGCGCTGGCTGGGGTGCCGCTGTGGGCCTGACGCAAAACGGAAAGCCGTGGCAGAATCTGGTTCGCCTCGCCGATGGCTTTACGCTCGGTGGTGTTCTACACGAGCTTGGTCATGTACTGGGTAAGACATCGCCAGCGACCGCAGACGTCGATCCTAACAATCGCAAGGCATGGCGCATGAACACAACCGCAACGACCGCGAAAAGTACATCAAAGTACAATACAAGCAACTTGCTGACTGGGAAGACGTAAGTGACAACCATTATCACTGACGCGTACCGCATACTAACATCACCAAACCAGTGCTGGCACCGCGCTCGTCAAGCGGAAGGCGACCGCATCACCGAAGACGGCCTCTGCCTATCCATGTACCGCGCCCTGAAATACCAATGTACCTGCGTCGCCTTCATCAAGAACTTCGTCGAGCCCGGCTGGCCCATTCAAGCTGCCTCTGGCTACGACCTCGCGAGCGTCATGCACTATCCTAGCCGCAACGGCTATGCAAAGCCAGATTGCAACGACAATGGTGTAGACTGTCCCATCCAGGCCTACCTCGACTGGAACGACCATGGCGAGGGACTTGGGCTGTTGGAACGCGCTACGAAGCCGAGCGAGATGGATATTATTTGGGTTAAGCAGAATTATCCTTGGAATGTGGATGCTTGAGTGTTGGGTGTAAGATCATTCACCCTTCGACGCGTTTAGAGGTTGCTAGAATGGCGCATAGCGGTTAGAACGGCTGTCGCACCAAGGTCTCTCCATGGGGGGTCAGACTGGTGTGCTTGACGGCCATAATACATTCCCGATCGCGAGAGCGCTCGTTGCCCAAGAGTGATGCATATTCATTGTGCACCATTTGGTCAGAGTATATAATGGCCGTTTCTTCGTCCGTGAACGCAACGGGCACATTGCCGGACCTTCGCTCGCCAGAGTGCATCCATCAGCCAGCTTGCAGAGCCGCATCGAGGCTGTGCACCTGCCAACCCCCAACAAGACGACCGCAGTCTGCAGCAACCGTTCACTCGGATCTCTTTCGGGTCGCAAGGATAGCAGTGGCTTGCGCAGCCACATGAAAAAGTGTTTTCACTTCGATTGTGTTTCAAAATCTGTCCGGTGCTCTATCGCGCTGACTGGTGGGCATGCAGCAACCTCTTCTGAAGACAAGGATCGTTGCATATATGGAGTGCAGAACGCATGCGTTCGGGCTGACAGACATCCGGCGAATGAGAAGGAGGAACGTGCGAATGATGCAGCGGTCGAGTGGATTTGTCGGTGTTCCTGGAGCTGTCTTGTGTAAACGGTCAGCAGGGATGGGATGGTATTACACATCAAAGCCTGCGACGGATAGGCTTTGACCATCGTACATGCGCTGAATAGACACGGAGCGAATGAAAGTGAGAAACGTGCGAGAAATCGAGGGAGCTGCATACCTAGGTTTCGTCTTGAACCAGAGTTTCCTCCCACCTGCTGCCGCCTGGACCATGGCCGCATCGCAATTTGGACACCGGACATATGACGACCCTGGGTTGATATTGCCGTATATGCGCCAACTTTACGATGATACAACAGACCCTTCTACGTCACTGGCGCTTGTAGCGCTTTATTTTACTTACCCTGGGGCAGTGATGAAGAAGCCGACTCGGCCGAGGTGTTGTTCGCGAACAGGCTGACCGCAGTGCATTCGGTAGCTCAAATATGGTGCAGCGATCTACAGCTGTGTACCACGTCGATAAAGCAGGACGCAGGACGCAGGTGGATGGTTGCACCTTCTCAATTTATAATGCAGGGAAAGTGGACAGGTTGGTCAGATCTTGCTGAGAAATTCTCCCACAAGCCCGCTCGACTACACACACACACAGCCAAGCGACGGTCACATGTCTCCGCTCATGCCCATGGAGGTGGTTACCATCCCGACTCGCTTGATAAGCGATTGGAAGGATTGGGCATACTCCCGTGCGCATTGTCCAAGCGTCGACATGAATGACAAACCCTCGTCATACCATCGCATATTACTGGTACGCTGAAGGTCGGAAAAGTTTCGGTAGAGTAGCATTACCAATGTTGAAGGTTATTTCGCATGCCGTAACACGACGCGTACCCAGCTGTTGGCTTTTGGGGGCCGCATGCGAATGCGACAGCGTGAAGTCACGTCGTGCGCACCTGGCCCGTGTTATCGAATAGGCTTTTTGACATCCCAAGAGTTCCCCCGGTTAGGCCTGGGCCCACTGCTACTCCAGGAACGCTGTGGCACATCTTACACCGATCAGCAAACTCTGTTCCTCTTATGGTCTGGCTTGTGGCTAGTGCGGTGAGCCTTACAGCCTGCGCTACTCGCGCCCAGCATCTACGTATACCTCGTTCGATGAGACAGAATGGCATTTCATCCGCCGATCGGGACGACTGCCTTCTGTCTTGGAAATCGTGCGTGCAGATTGCATACGATGACCAAGAAAGACCCAGAAGCTGCAGAATGATGAGGTTACACGGTCAAAGTACGAGAAAAAAGAAAGTATGAGCATGGATTGCTTGAGCAAGTGGCCCCTGCTGTCAGTCAGCCATCCCTGGGCGTTGCTTGTCCCTACTGAGGTGTGTATGTACTGTCAAATTCACTCACCACGCTTGGCGCGCTTGCGTGTACCCAACTCCTGGCTTGAAGTCGCGCAAAGCGAGATAGTAAGACGCCGTGATAGCAATGGGGGCGGATGAAGCAGACTTCGTTGGCCGGCCCTGACTAGTGACGCTGTCAGACGCACGCTGAGAGCCTCGAGTCGCTGGCCCAGCGGCAAGCGCGGGGCTGGAGCTCTCCCCCAGGGCCCACGCGTTCGTTGCTCGACGACCCATTAACGTACGTGCTATGCACATCAAAGGAGTTCCAAGGTTACGACGCGCAGCAGCCGACGATGTCAAGATTCAGCCCCCCGATCTCGTGCGTTTTTCTCCTGCAGCGCCCGGCCGGTGAAGTTTTGAAACGGGCTGCCAGACGGTCGCAACACGCGGCTCGGCAACATCACCACGCCCGGCCCTCGCCTCGCCTATCAGGAGTCGCAACCCTCTCGCTTCCGCCAAACTATCCAATCTCCGTGCAGGGCTCACAGCCATCGCAGCTGAGATGAGTTCCCCTTTGTAGCAACCATGACGCTTTTGCCGGTGGTTAGCTTGGCGAACCTACCCCAGGACGACGTCTTGGCTCTTGTTAGCTGCTCGATCGGGAAAGGGCATATGCCTTGGTCGTGAGGCTTCAACGTGGTCGTGAGGACGGCCGCTGTGACAGTCATAAGTGTGCCATGGACGCGTATGCGCAATACCTTCTTGCTCATTTCTGCGGATATACTGACTTGCTCACTTGCCAACCTCGTTCTCACCTTGCACATCAATACTATATAGTCGCCTTGTACATCGAATCCTCTCTCGACAGTTATTTCACCTTGGTACTCTATCCCAAGAAGAGACTACATAAACTCGAACACTCAACACATTCTCACTCAGACATCGTTCATCCATCCATCTTACTACACTCGACTACCGCCCAACTTCTTGACCGTAACGCCCAACCACATCCAAAACCCATACAAGTTACCCGCCATCGTGGACCATGTCTCACAACAGTAAGTCAGCTTACCGTCCCGTCCACAACTCCGACTTCTTTCCTTCTCCGACACCACCGACACCACCGGCGAGCTGCGCCTCGGCTCAGCCCACCATACTGCTTTTGGTCTAGCGTGCCGACATATCCGCACCAACTCCCGATCCATTTCCCAACTTTCTCGATCTCACAGCTGACCCACCCGTTCCCAGCCTATCCCTACGCCGTCAAGCTCCCGTTCCGTCGCTCACTCGCTTCCATCGGCATCCCGAGTCATCGCGACGCTCTGGCAGTTTACTTCCACTGGGTGCGACAGCGTTATTATCGCGCGCAAGATGTGATGGGCGATGAGCTGTCGTCGTCTGTGAGGTCGGTAGTTGGTTCATGCGATGCGTCGCGTATGGATGACTACGAGCTTGCGGAGCCTCGGTCGAGGGTTCAGAGCGATACTGAGAGGTTCAGGGTCGACCTCCTGAGCATTGGTGCGGGTTTCGAGGTCGAGGCCGTCGCGCTGGCATATCCTGGTGAGATTGACGTGCGGGGCTGAGGGCACAGCCCTGAGGCTTGGACATCAAAATGAGGGGCACGAGAGGCACGAAGGGCACGCACATGGGCATGACGAATCGGCGTTTTGGAAGCGCTTATACTGGCAGCGATGGGTCTTCGCAATTGGGTCACGGGTTACGATCTGACCATTTGTATAACACTTTGACGAATTTTGGGTGGATAGATAAAGGACGACAGGCATAACCTCTTTGTAGTGAGTGTATTGGGTTACAAGCATTTCTCAGATTGTACATTTTCTTTATCTTATATCCGCTTAACACCAAACACCGAGACAGTAATCCCGAGTAGTCTTGTAACGTGCTACGAGGTATACGATACCTCATTACTTAGTTAATAGCGATAGAATACGCCGTCGTAGTCAACTTCGCATTGCTTCCAGTGAACACCTCCGTGCCCGCCTGCACGACCTGCAGATACAAACTACTCGTGAAGCCATTGCTACCGTAGTTTGCCAATAAATACTGAAAGAACAGATTCTGCGTCGACACATTAGCTTCTCTATCATCTCCACAAAGTAGACTCATGTAACGTACCAAGTCGGCGCTGAAGTTCGTCGCCCGACCGCCACGAGCAACAAAACTGTATACCTTGACAGAACCATTGAGACCGTATGCAAGATCGAAGATCTGGCCGCCAATAGTGACGGTCGCGATGGGCGTGAAGGGATATCCGTTCGCGGACAAGGGTGATACACCGCCGTAGACGCCGAGCCAGACCATGACTTCAAAAAGGTTGGTTCCGCTGGCTGATGCGCCGAGGAAGGTGTCGTAGGCCACTGCGGGTAGCACATCAAGGTTAGCCTACATATCCCAGAGACGAAGAGAGTGCACGAGAAAGGGCGGAAGTAACACACCATTGACTCGCAAATCTGTGCCAGTGTAACTCCACTTCCACGTCGTCGGCATACTCGTATAGCTACCAATCTGCTTCTTGGTGAAGCCCGTCTCGACGTTTGTGTAGCTCTTGACTTGGTTGGGCGTGCCAGACCATGACCATGTTGTTGACCAGGCTAGGCCAGCTGTGCTGCTATAGCTGTCAATCTGAGAGCACTGAGAGCCGGTTCCGGAAGAGAAGCCCCAGCCATTGGTGTAGAGCGTGTATGGGCCGGATGACTGAGATTGGTATTGGCCGCACTGAGCGGCGCGGGGTAGGAGGGTAGCGGGTGCGGCGAGCGCAGTTGAAGAGAGAAGAAGAAGAGCGGCAGTGGAGAATAACATGCTGATCGATGGATGTGAGTCGGAGCTGTGGTATGTTGTTGATGGATGAGGTGGATATGAAGCAGGTGCGGGTGCCTTATGTAGCCTTCAAGGTGCTCTGATCGTCCATCTCTTACGATGTCGCCTCCACATCCTCCAAGCGACCACTCCTTTTCGCAACAACTTGTCACATTTGGATGCTCCGCTCTTCCGTTTACCTGTCTTCTACTAGTCGTTCTCGCGCATGACCCACAATCCGACATCGCAGACGCGCGTAGATCTTTCCATGACCCAGCAACCAACCATACTCATCAGCGCTTCCTTAACTCTCGCTGAAGTCCGCAAGCCACTGAATAATCCTATGCCCACCGGATACCATCTTTCCATCGAAGAGGAAGTTCTGAAAGCCAGTGTAAGCCATAGGCATGCACGACATCAGCCGGTCCAATCATCAGCGGTCAGGGTCCACCAATATAGCTCGCATGCTGCACGCGCGGGACGAACCACGATTTAAGGATCGAGACCGGACTTGGATAACCTGGTTTTGAGAACGGAAGTGGTACGGATGCGGACCGAAAGACCAATGGATGATATGCAGAGGAAGGTCGAGAAGCATGCATGCATCGGTGGCGTGAACATTGTGCGTGACTTGGAGTATCGGTTTTCGAGAGACCTATCAGATGATGTGATCGAAGGAGGGGATGGCAATAGCATGCTAGCGCTGCTGAGGAATGGGTGAGGGATCGTGCTCTAGCTTCTTCTTTGGCATCGCAAGCGCTGTGGAGCTAGAGTGATGACCGCGTTCTACGTCCACCGTGTGCGGAAGGACGTCTGAGCTACGAATGTGATCAGCCCTCCCAGACCCTGTGATGCGCCGATAGTCGCTACTCTCTACGAGCGTGCGAAGCAGCATCCCCTCTACCTCATGGCTTAGGCGGTACCGCGGAGAGATCTGCGCAGTGTGGAAAGGTCTCGTAAACAAGTCCAGCCCAACTCGAAGAAGGTGAATGACACGCAAGTCTCGCCGAAGATACGACACAAGCCACTCGCGCATGCGCTCGAACCGAACACCATTATCTAGCTCTTTCGTACGCTGCGCCGCAGCATGTTTGCTCGCCGCACTAAACCAGGAAGGCTAAGCTCTTTCCAAAGGCTGCAACGTGGAGCTTGTTGATCCTCGGCGCGTCTGAAATCAGGATTAAACATACCATTGCAAACAAATTGGAGGGAGTAAGCGCTGCATCCCTTCCTGGGCTTTACGCTGTGCGTTTTTGAGTGCTCCGTCATCTCCAACGTTGACTGGCATGTGCCAAGGCTACGACGCGAGCATTCTGAAGGAGACCAGCGTCGCATACGGAAAGCTGAATTACGACGAGGCACGCTTAAAAGATACCGTAGACAGAGGCCGCGAAAGCATAGAAGAGATTGCCCAGGCTATCGCCCACATCGTGAAGATCGAGAAGATAAGTTGCTCGGGCGAGCCTGGAAGAGATCCTCTGAGAGATTGGAGAGATCGCAGAAAGCAGCGACTTCCTACTTATAGACCAAACTACCGCAGAGCAGGTCCGCCCAAGCTAGAAGATGTAAGTTGCACACTTGCTGCGCCGCATCTCGTGAGCTGGGTACTTCTCACGGCATCACCATAGATTGCTGAGCGTGCAATTGACTTGCGCACAGCCCCGATCACGACTGAACCACTCTCTGGTGTGGACATGCCTTCGAACAACAATGTGAATCCATCTCGTGGCACAGCGAACAAGTGCAGGGCAGCCTCGTGCGGCGCTCGCCCATGAAACGGAATCTGATGGAGGGCGACTAAATTGCTTTTGCGCGTCGAATAACGCGACGAAATTGTGAGATGTCGGCGTCGGGGTGCATATCGGGTCGCAGGTTCAGCCATTGAAGGAGACGAGCGGAGGACGCATCGAAAGTCATGCGGAGGTGTTCGCGACAGGCCGCGGGTTCTCAGACGACACGTGATCGGTTTCGCCGGCTAACCATCTAGAGGCTAGATCATGACGTAGCTCATCACAAAATCCAATCCACGGATCCATGGATGCTCTGCTATCCGAACAACACTCGCCCGCAACAATGCACGCAAGACCTGCACGACCCAGATACCATACAGTCACAGGAGCGGAGATGTGATCGGTGTCTGCGCGTTATACATGCTCATCGTTGCTAATACTCTACTTATGGGCCGCGCGTCCTCCTCGGTATGCGGCAACCCCAGGTCAAATACAACCCGCTTCAGTCCTCGAAATCCCAATACGCCTTATCCAGCTCCGCCTGTATGCCCTCGATCAACCTCATTTCGTGCGGCTGGACCCGGAACAAGCGCGGTCCGCCTACACATGGGTTGGAGCATTCGCATGCAAGCGAGGCATCTAAAAGGGAGTCAGTACGTATTCCACATGCCTTTATAGGACTACTTACTGTTCGTTATGGCGATCTGAAGATCCTGTTCGAGAATGCGTATACCGGCAGTATGATCATTGCGCTTGTCGTTCAGTAACCCAGTCCAGTAATTCTGGGTGGAATCTTTGATGCAGCCACTCATGGAATACTTAATTCCTTTCGAATTTCGGAGAGCGACCAGATCATTCCAGGCGGTGATGAAAAAGACATCAATCCACTTCTTTTGGCATGGATGAAGCGGTCTCCAAGGGCAGTTGGCAAGCTCATGTTCAGGACCAATGAAGCGAAAATCGATGATATCGAGGTTTCCTAACCCAGCCATAGACATGACATTAATTGGAACAACGCCCCTCTGAAGCGGTTGTCCCAGTTGCGGACAAATGCCCCCGAATGCCAAGAACTCAGTTGCAGACATCTCAAGTTGAAGCCTCTTCAGGAAGTTATCAGGCGTTACTATTCGCCTGAGTTGGCGCCAGATCTTTTCAGGTGACGCGGCGGGCCCAATGCCATCACCACGCGTACGGATTGTTGTGAATCGCTTCACCGTGTCGCGATTGGCGACTTGGGTGGCTTCATCCTTGACCTGGCGACTGACGCGCATGATCTCCATATTGGGACGCTGTATATTGGGATCTCGATTGCGCCCTACGCGCTCGGGATTATCGTACGACAGGCCATACCCAAGCACAAGCTTCTCCCCGCCACCATGCTGTGTAACGACATCCGGAACAACGACTGGCCCGATGACGTGTAGGTAGATGGCTTCGCGCATCTCTAGAGGTAAGTCCAGCAGCCGGAAAGCTTGCCCTGTACCTTCCCACCACAAGCGCTGTTCCTCGTACTGCGATTCTGGGAGCCTCATCGCCCACATATCGTCTTCGGCAGTGCAGTACGTATCGCGGATCCATGCAGCTGCGTCGCGCTCGGTTTTCCTGATCCTGCCAAACTCGGTGATGATCATATCTCCAGCAACACATCTCGCGGATGGGATATCGATCGCAGCGGTACGGGTGTAGCCGTCCGACCTCAGCGGCTCGGTGAAGGTATACCAGTCACTATGGACACTTGTATCGTGCCGAGCGATAGCACGTACTGCTTCGATATCTTCGGCATTGGCCTGAGATACTACGAGTAGCTCGTTCTGGTGCTTGTGGCAGTGGCTGTGCTGCGACAAGAACGAGAAGTTGGTCCTGCGCTCTTCCTGTATGAACTCGTGGAGAGCGGCGATGAGGTCGGAAGGCTGCGGTAAAGGTGTAATGACTTCACTCCCGTGTTGCCTCTTAGACCCAACGCCATCATTTCGAGCAGATTCGTCGTCGCTATCGCGTTGTCTTTTCGGCATGATATCGTCGGTTGCGTGGGTGAAATTGGACCCAAGGTGAAGTGTAGAGAGCGTAGATCTTATGTCCTCCATAGTATGAATAGTTGCGACTGTCGCCGTGAGTGAAATGACTGTTGCTTATTCCGGAGGTGAGCGGTTCGTAGGTATACGTACCAAAGTTTATCACCTGAGCAGGTGCACAGCAGCACGTCCGAGCTGCGTCATTCGCGGCACTAGTCTTCATCCGTACTAGTGCGCAAACACTACCGTGAAAGCCCTGGAGTGAAGACACAAAGGAGTGCTGTTTGTATAGTGGAGTGAAAGGAAAAGCGCATGCATCATTCTTCTCGGTGATTCCCTAATTGTCATGTCTTCTGTAGATAGTGTTTTTCCCACTGATCTACTCCGCACATTATTAGCCAGGGTAAACAAAATATCGGCGCCGCCTCGGGCAGGAGAACGAAAGTCTTGAGGTGCCTTGCTGCATACATCAGTCTAAAATCAAAAGATCGACCATATCTGAAGGCAATGTAGACTTCTGAGAGGTGAATGTTCAGTGTTTTCCCTGTGTGGGGTGGCGCGGCGCAGGTGGAGCAAATCCATCCCCGGATGGCATCAATAAGATGCAAACACTGTGGACAGGAGAAAAGATGATTGAATATGTGAAATTTGATTTGACATCGCTATGCTGATGCTAGACTCATAAGTCGTAATAAGCGAAGCGCCTATACAAGGGCTTCTTGGTATATATACATGTTCTCGTCACCCCCAAACTATGCGTAAGACTGAGCAGAGCATGTGAAGGGACTTCGTACAGCACCGGAGTTGTACTGTGTGATGATATCCTCGACGGACGCGTAGGTACCGGCACCGAGAACAACAAGTCCAATGACGAAGACAATGGAGTTGAGGATGCTCAAGCTGATGTTTTTGGCGTTTGCGTTCCACTTGCCCTCCTTGACGAGCTGGAACCAGAAGAGCGCGGGCCAGTAGAATGTGAATCCGGAGATGAAGAGGGAGGAGATGAGACCGAGGAGGGCGTTGAAGAAGGGAATGGCCTCGGCGATGATCCATCCAATGACGGTGACAACGGTGATGAGTCCAACCCAGACACCCCAACCCTTGACGTCCTTGACGAAGCGGATTGGCGAAGTGGGGAAGATGCGGTCCATGATGTAGCGGCAGACGACGGTGCCGTTGATGGAACCGGAGATGAAGATGACGGGGAGTGCGATACCGAAGGCAATGCGGGAGACGGTGTTTCCGGCAGAAAGAAGAGCAG